TTTTTTTTTTTTCCCCCCCTTTTTTTTTTTTTTTTTTTTTTTTTTTTTTTTTTAGAGGCCAGACCTTTTATTAATTGAAGCACGCTGTTGCTTTGAAATGCTAAACCGAGCAACCTCATCCGCTTGACTCACAGGAGCAGTAATCCTAGCATGGTAGCCAGCAGCAAGCTGACATGCTGGGACCTCTCAGCAGAGCTGTTTGTCTGGGTGAAAAGGGAAACAACCCCCGGGGTGAAACTATCAGAGATGTCGCAGCAGATTCGAAGCTTGAAATGCACTCCCTCACTACCCTGCAAAGCTGTCTGCACAGTTCTCTTAATCCCTCCTGTTCTTTCTTGATAGAGGATAGTTGCATTTCTGTTGCAAAAGGGAGGAGACGTGTGACCCTCTTGCAGGGTGAAAAAATGGTAAAGTGTGAGCTGCTCCCTTGGTCACTCAGTTTTGCCATTCGTGAATAAAATGGCAGCCTTCCCCCCTGCTTCTGACTGGGTATCGTACCTGTGTGCGATTTTAGAGGGAACCAAAACTAGATTCATAGATGTTAGGGGCTGGAAAGGAGCTAGATGGAAAGGAGTAAGGAAGCACTGCCCATCCTACTGAATCCTGGGGTTGCCTCTCTGGAGCTTGGCATTTCTCTGTTTCCTTAGTGGTCAGCCCTAACTCTGCATCCTTTTCTCTCATTACTTCTTTTGCAAGGTGGCTGTTGACCTGGTGAAGGGCTCTTCTATACAGGTTCTTTGCCTAAAAGCTCCTTGGAGTATGTAAGGATTGCTGACTCTTTTCTAATCCTATCCTCAGTACACACCGGCCATGAGGACAGATGATCCCCAGCTCTCTGAATAATATGGGGTCCCATACTGAAAGTGCCCAGCTCCCAGCTTTTCTCACTGTCTACAAGGGCCCTGTTTACTGTAGGTATAAAAAAAACCCTGCAAACCAAACAAACCTTCTTTGTTTACTCAGTGCATTTGTCCCAGGCTGAAATCTCATTAGAGAAAAAGCGATAACCACTTTTCCCTGCTAATTATAGCTCTTGTGAAGCCATTGATTCAGGGACTAAGTAAATAGGAACAGACCAAACAAATGGATGCTTGCTTTCCACGCCTGCCCTCCATTTTTTTTCCACTAGCCTGTGATATTTCAGAAACAGCTGATAAACTCCTGGTGTTAACGAGAGACCCAGGTTACAGAACCTGTTGTTGTCTAAGCCCCGTCTGTAATCGTTCTGACCCTGCGTGACCTCCCCCTCCCCTCCCACATCTCTCTCCACTAGCCTTTCCTGTCTCTTTGAACCACTCCTCTGGGAGGCTGAATAGATGGTTATATGCTGGCATGGCCTGTGAAAAGGAGTAGATAAGTTCCCAAATAAACAAACAGTGACAGGTACAGGGGGAAATGGTGATTTTGCAGGGCAGTGATCCTTTAACCGCCTAGTGCCCATCACAGAAGCAACTGAATATGTGCTGATAAGGGATGGTGTCTTCTCTATTCCCCTTGACTTTCTCACCTGTAGTGGGATCTTTCTTCCAGATTTCCCTCCCTGAATGGTTCAAAAGACCCATGGCTGTGGCCGATTTAGTACTTTGCACATATGCATCCCAAACCATTGATCCGAGGTCTGATGGTCCTGATTCTGTACTTGTAGCTGTTGTAAAAGGGAAAAATTTAACTCTTGATCAAGTGAATGGAATTACAGCAATGTGTGCTGCTTTGGTACCTGTATCTGTGAGATAAACGGTGTCAAATCATTGGAGTTGAAAACTTCCAAACCTGGCAGTGCAGAATCCAAAATTCCCAGCATCAGAGTTTTCAGGTTTGTCATCCAGCTCTAACTGTCGGGGCAGAAGCTTCATAGAATCATAGAAGTCGGGTCAAAGGGACCTTGTAGATCTTCAAATCCGACCCCCCACCAGGGCAGGAGAAAAACTGGGCTCAAATAACTCCAGCCAGGTAGGCATCAAGCCTCTTCTTAAAGCCCCCCAGGGTAGGAGCCAGCACCACTTCCCTTGGAAGTTGGTTCCAGCTCCTAGCCGCCCTGACTGTGAAGTAGTTCTTACGGATGTCTAATCTAAACCTCCTCTCCAACAACTTGTGGCCGTTATTCCTTGTTATGCGAGGGGGCACTCAGGGAAACAAGGTCTCTCCCAAACTCTTCTGGTCCCCCCTCATGAGTTTATAGACGGTCACCAGGTCCCCCCTCAGCCTTCACTTGTGAAGGCTGAACAGGTTCAGGTCCCTCAGTCTCTCATTGTACGGTCTGCCCTGTTGTCCCTGGATCATGCAGGTGACCCTCCTCTGGACCCTCTCCATGTTGTCCACATCCCTCCTGAAGTGGGGCACACAGAACTGGACACAGTACTCCAGCTGTGGCCTGACCAGCGTTGCGTAGAGGGGGAGGATCACCTCCTTGGCCCTACTTGAGATGCACCTGTGGATGCACGACAAGGTCCGTCCGGTTAGCCCTTCCAACCGTGACCTCGCATTGTCAGCCCATGTTCATCTTAGAGTCCATAATGATTCCCAAGATCCCTTTCTGCCTTCGTGCTCTCAAGAAGGGAGTTTACCATCTTATAAGTGTGCTGCTGGTTCCTACTGCCCACGTGCAGCACCCTGCACTTGTCAGTATTGAAACGCATCCTGTTTTTGTTAGCCCACCCCTGTAACATATCCAGGTCTTGCTGCAGTCTTTCCCTCCCTACTGGTGTGCTCACCTCACCCCAGATTTATATGCACAATCTTTTCATCGTAAAATATATTGACCTGGGAGCAAATAAGTGGCAGGACTTGGGAATGTGTCCCATCCCACTCCGAAGTGGAAAGCTGTTTCTGACATGGGTTCGTTCACTTGTCTGGTTTCTCTCTGCTCCCTTGAGACCTGGGCTCGTTGAAGTCAGATGGGGGTTTTGCCTTTGATTTTGATGGAGCAGAATCAGCACAGTTGTGAAATACAGCCACAAACTCCAGAAGCTCTAATGTGAAATGTTTGCTCTGCCATTGAAGCAAGAGAATCCCATAAAAGAGCGGCCCTCACGGGATCAGATTCATCTCGTGTCTGACACCAGGCAGTGCAGGCTGCTTTTGAGCAAGCTGTTTGAAACCATCCCGCTGCACCTTAGTTGACATGCAGTACCCTGTCTTCCTGGTCCCTTTAGACCTGAAGCAAGAGGGTTCTCTGTCACTTACAAGGTAGTGATTCTCTCCCAATTGCTCACATATCTCTTTCTTTCAGTGAAGCTATCAGCGTCCCTATGATTCCTCTGGGACTGAAGGAGACGAAGGAATTGGACCTGATGGTACCATTGAGGGTAAGCCCACTGGAGTCATCTGGGTTGCTGCATGTGATGTGGACCAGCTGTGGCCTTGAATAAATATGGCTGGAGGGGAATCTAAATATGGGAGGTTCTGAATGTTCTCATTGTTTATTTTGCCTGGCTGTATGGCCTTGCACATAAATCAGTGAGTGATAGGGTTCTGCGAGGCCTGGAGGTGATAAAAGCCATGGAAAAAATATTAAACTATCCTAAACGTGTTGGTGTTGGGAGTCCAGCTGCTTTCCCATAGCTCCTGTGCTTGAGTGTGGCTTGTTTAGAAACACGTGTTGAGCGTGCAGAGCTGTCTCCTAGCACGGTGTGATGCGTATCTACAAAAGGCAGACGTTCATTCGCTCAGTGGGTGGCGAGTCCCCTGTGAAAATCATTCAGTGGGTGCACTACTAATCCAGTGTATGCATTTAATTTCTTCTGCCCAGGATTTCATCTGCGAACACTACGGGGAGGATGGAGCTTTGTTTGACAAGGAAATCAGAGAGTTCATGGAGCTGCGGCAGGTTTGTGCACCTCCCTGCCTTGACTGCCTCAGAAGATACTGCTTTACAAGCTATTAACTTTTCTAGAAGTCCCCTTTCCACTTCTCTTTCACACCTCCCCAGTAATGCTTTGTATCTTTGAGGTACTGGATTTCTGAAGCACACATTAAAACACTGAAGCGGCAGTTTATACTTTACAACATAGTGTAGCTCATAAAATAACAGCTTCACTGCAAGGTAATGGAGCCTCTTAATGCCCTGCTAACCTAGGATTGCACAGCAATAAAAGCTGAGTATAAAGCAATTTATCATTATTGTTTAATGAATTATAACTCATCCCCAGGGCAAGAGTAAATGACCGTTGTGTCCTCGGCAAAAAGTGAAAGGAACTTTGGCAAAAAGGAAGCATAGAATAGGCATTGTAAGGGAACTTTTACCCTCCCCTTGAAGGTAGATCTAATAAGTCTTAACTTTCTAGGTGCATCTTTTTCCTTTCTGAATAGAGAGAGAAGGAATTCTTGACGCCCTGTCCTGTAATTGAGGCTGTCTAAGTGTTTTCTCTGCAGCCCCCCCGGCATCATTGGAATTGGGCAGATGCAATGGCTCCATCCACGGGATTGGGGCCATAACAGGGAATGATTAAAATGGGATATGGGGGGAGGGTCCAAACTACTTAACCAAAAAACCACCCTGTCATCATGCATTTTTGGGAAGTTGCAACAGGGCAGTGAGAAGCGCAATCTTAGAGAAATCTGGAAAGGACTGCTCATTTGAGCTATCCATTTGTAATGGAACTCCATCCCGTATCTGTTACCATTTGATTTTTGAAACTGCTGCTTGAAGCCAACAGGAAGTACTCCCCACACCTAGATTTGACCAGATTTCCTGGTTTTTCCTCAAGCTTTGCAAGGCTAGCATTGCTGGAAGAACCAGGGTGCAATAAAACACCCGCTGGCTTTCAGCTTGCTAAGCTTAGCTCTAATGAACTAACCCAGAGCTGTGCTTCTGTCTTGCTGCCTTTCCCCTGATCTCCGATTTCACGTGGGTTAAGTGATGTCACCTCTGGGTGTATATGATTATATCCAAAAATCATCTACGCTGCAAAAAAGATAAGCCCAAAAAGTTAAGCCCTCCACATTTAAGGAGTTTTGGAATTGAGGTCACCAGCAAACTACGGTTCATTCATGCAGATACATGCATCTGTGTTTTGGTAGTCATATGTTGCATGACCACATGCTGTTTTTTTCCACCCATCCCCTGCCTCATTCAGCACCTCCTATCCTGAATTGTGGATGAAATTCATCCCTCTATGCCAAAGCCACCACCCATACACTTTTTCACACTTGTTTTTAAGACTTCCACATAGCTAAAGTGGCACTTAAGAAATGGCTAGGTGTGAGTGTCTGGTAACTGTTGGTGCCCCTGCCTCTTCTTCACCCCTCAGTGTTTAAAGGCCAAGACTTCCTGTCTCCATTTGACTCCCTTCCTACTCTTGCACAGGCCATGCGAACACCCAGCCGGAACGAGGCAGGGCTGGAGCTTCTCATGGAGTATTACAACCAGCTCTACTTTCTCGACAATCGGTTCTTCCCTCCCAGTAAAAACCTGGGAGTCTTCTTCCACTGGTTAGTGAGGTTTTTTTTCTGTTCTGTCCTCTAAACGTGTATGCATGTGCTTTAAATATCACTAGTTTGAGTGGGTCTAGAGCTGAATAGAGACAGAACTCCAGGCTGTAACAACCTGAAGATCTGCTTCTTCCCGCCTGTCCTTGTTGGTAAAAACAGGCTCTACCAGTGAGGAGATCTGAATCCCAGTCCTGGTCCCAGCACTGTGGTTTCATGTGGTCTTGAGCAAGATGCTTTAATCCACTTAACTGAGGGCTGCAGAATGGGGCTGTAATACTTGCCTGCCTTGTTCAGTGCTGCAGGCTAATCCCTGTTTGCAAATGCCTTGTGAGTCTTGGCCGGGAGTCGCACACAGTCGGAGCAAAACGTGATCCAAGCACATGCAATGCCTGTTCCTAGGTGAGCCAAACGTGACTACGCCCTGAGCCCAGAGCAACCGAGCTCTGGGCATGATGAACAGCAAAAAACCAGAAACCTGCTGATTCCTGCCAAATCTTGCTTGGCAGCTCCTGGGCTTGGCAGGTAGAGAGGTGCAGGCTGCCCGGTGCAGCGTTGCACCATGGCTTTGTTCCTGTCTGAATGATTCATCGTGGAAATCTCCAGTCCCCACTCTGTTTGACTGGCCTTTCTACCATGATGAGCATTCACAGAGGTGGTGGTATCCTTTCTCCACCCACACTCTCCATTGTGTTGAAAACTTTTTCCCCTCTCACCACATTAAGTTGCATCCTGGATGTATCTCAAGCACATCAGCCCACAACTAACTCAGTGGTGTTTCTCCCCACTTCTGCTTGTCCAGGTACGACTCGCTGACAGGAGTCCCATCCCATCAGCGTGCGCTGGCATTCGAGAAGGGCAGTGTGCTTTTCAACATTGGGGCTCTGCACACCCAGATTGGGGCACGCCAGGACCGCACCACATTACAGGGGGTCGATCGGGCCATCGATGCGTTTCAGAAGGCAGCTGGTACGTCGGCTGCTGGGAGCTGCACTAGTGTGTTCAGTTTTCAGGGGGAAATTGGGACAGTGTCACTCCTTGTTACCCCAAGACACTTGAGAGGTTTGTGTAGCATGCACCCCAGACTGCCCACTCCTGACCTGTAGCTCCCCCACTATAGCAGGACCTGTTTTTAATGTGGAGATAGTCACTCTTCCTCTCCCTCCTCCTTCCTGCTCTGATTTTGGCAGCAAAGGACAGGAGGGGATGAGTGGCTGGCAGCAACTCAGGCCCTGCTTCCATGCAGCACTGGAGCCCAGGGGCTCGTCCCCTCTCTTCCTCTGCTGCTGATTTCAGAGTTTGGTTGCCTGCAAGATCACAGCAAGAGGCAGCAGCTGCACCCTCTTGGCTGTGGGACACTTGTGCAACGCATCCTCTTTGCTATGCATATATCACCGCCGAAGCGGAGTGGATGCATGCCTCTTGGTGCTATCATGGATCCCCTCTTCTGTGGAGTCATGAGATGAGAGATCCCAAAGTGAAGTGATGGACATATTTGTACCTAGGGGTTGCTGCTCCCCTAAACCCAGTAGTCTCACTGATACAGCCACATCCTCCCTTGAATCCTGAATGGTAACAGAAGGGTCCTGAGGAGCATTTCCCTCCAGCCTCTTCCCTTTGTGCAGGTGCATTCAACTACCTGAAGGAGAACTTCTCCAATGCACCCAGCCTGGACATGAGTGCCCCCTCCCTCAATATGCTGGTGCACCTGATGATCGCCCAGGTGCAGGAGTGCGTCTTTGAGAAAGTCACGCTTATCCACGCCCAGGACGACTTCCTCACTCAGCTGCAGATTGCGCAGGAAGCCACCAGGGTATGCGGGCCTTGCTGTTCTCCACACTCAGCACAAGCTTTGTGTCTTAGCAGAGCCAGCTGGGGGGGGTGGGAAGAGAGGAAAATCATTGGGGATGGAAGAAGCAACGTAGTTCTTGGAGACAGTACAGCCCGGTTGTGATCAGGGGTGTGGCATGCCCACAGGGGCAGCTTTGGGAAGACGCTGCAGCAAGCTGTCATCTGTGCTATGAGCAAGGGAGGCTGTACAGGCTGGATCCACTCACTGGGCCAGCGGGTGAAATGCAGCAGCAAGCCAGCCCTGCAGAGGAGCTAATGGTGCAAGCAGTCCACTCCAGGACTTGATTTAACTGAATACACTTGCTGTACACTTATAGATAAAATTGTAGAAAATGAGGGTTGAAGGGACCTCAGAGGTCACATCTAGTCCAACCCCTGCTCAAAGAAGGACAAGTCCCAACTACATCATCCCAGCCAAGGCTTTGTCCAGCTGGGTTTTAAAAACTGCCAAGGATAGAGATCCCACAACCTCTCTAGGAAGCTTGTTCCAGTGCTTCACTGCCCTCCTAGTGAGCATCTTTTCCTAATATTCAACCTAAACCTCTCTTGCTGCAACTGGAGCCCATTGCTCCTTGTTCTGTCATCTGCCCCCACTGAGAACAGTCCAGCTCCATCCTCTTTGCAACCCCCCTGCAGGGAGTTGAAGGCTGCTATTAAATCCCCTCCAAGTCTTCTCTTTAGACTAAATAAGCCCAGTTCCATAAATCCTAAAACAATCCCCTGCCAATTGGGGCTAAGGCAGGGATGGTGCTGCTATAACAGCACTGTTTAATCATTGTGATAGAATTAGGCATGTACCCGAAACAGTGGGTAAGCTCCAAAACCAGCCCCCTGCACCACTTTGCATACATTACACTAAATGCCCACCCAGATACATGGGCTACATGTAGAACCAAAATAGATGTGGAGATCATAAGCTGCCTGCTCCCCAGTGCCCTCTAATAGCCAATGTTTCCTTGTCATGCTAAGACAACCTTGAGGCAGGTGCTGAGCCAGGGGGGTGCCTTGGCTTGGAACAGTGCTGCATCATGTCCTCTGAACAACTTTGTCTCTTATACCTGTGCTGTATGGACAGGGCATGTAGGAAATGGGTGGCCAAGCTTTTCCTTACCTCTACCATTTCAGGTTGATTCATAGATGCAGGGTCTGAAGGGACCTTGTAGATCTTCTAGTCCAACCCCCTGCCCTGGGTAGGAGAGAAAACGGCTCAAATGACCCCAGCCAGGTAAACGTCAAGCCTCCTCTTAAAGACCCCCAGGGTAGGAGCCATCACCACTTTCCTTGGAAGTTGGTTCCAGATCCTAGCTGCCCTGACTGTGAAGTAGTGCCTTCTAATGTCTAGTCTAAACCTACTCTCTAGCAATTTATGGCCATTATTCCTTGTTACTCTGGGAGGTGCTCAGGGGAACAAAGTCTCTCCCAAACTCTGCTGGTCCCCCCCTAGTAATTTTATAGACAGCCACCAGGTCCCCCCTCAGCCTTCTCTTTTGGAGGCTGAACAGGTTCAGGTCCCATAGCCTCTCCTCGTAGGACCTGCCCTGCTGCCCCTGACCATGCGAGTGGCCTCCTCTGGCCCCTCTCCATGTTGTCCACATCTCTCCTGAAGTGCGGCGCCCAGAACTGGATGCAGTACTCCAACTGCGGCCTGACCAGTGCCACATAGAGGAGGAGGATCACCTCCTTGGCCCTGCTTGTGATGCCTCTGTGGATGCAGGACATGGTACGGTTAGCCTTACTGACCGTGTTCTCGCATTGTTGGCCCATGTTCATCTTGGAGTCAGTAATGACTCCAAGATTTCTTTCTGCCGCCGTGCTTTTGAGAAGGGAGTTGCCCAACCTGTAGGTATGCTGCTGGTTCCTACTGCCCAAGAGCAGCTTCCTGCACTTGTCAGTATTGAATCTCATCCTGTTTTCATTTGCCCACCCCTGTAACCTGTCCAGGTCCTGCGGTAATCTGTCCTTCCCTTCTAGCGTGCCCACCTCACCCCAAATTTTGGTGTTGTCTGCATATTTAAACAGACTACTCTTCACCCTGTCGTCCAAGTCGCCAACACGAGAGCTTCTGTTTTTCCAGTTGCGCTGGTCCGAGCACTACATTAAATGCAGCCAGACTAGTGAAGTTCCCCGGTCTTCTAGACTTGGCATCCAACACTAGCCTTGAAACACGGGCTCATCATGGTCTTTGTCACATCACTCAGTAGCTCTCTGTTCCCCCTCACACAAAGAATTGTAATCTTTAGCTAATGATGGCCAACTAATGCTAAGTATTGGTATAGTGACCCTGCGCACACTGAGTTTGGTACCAAGCCCAGTTAGCTGCACTATAGAAAGTAAGAGATGGGGGGGTGGGGGGGGGGCTTGATTACCCAAACACTCCTTTCCCACTCTGGATTTCTTGTCCCTCCATTTTTTTAGTACTGTGGCCACCCCAGACACACACGTCTCAAGCAGTGAGGCTACTGGCCTGTCCTGCAAGCCTCCCAGAGCGGCTGGTTTTTCTAATAGAACTTGCTTTAGACTGCCTGTGTCTTCACATTCACAGGTTGAAGATGTTTACTCCTTGGTGCATCAGACCATGACGCAGGCCCACGTGAAGGATTACGTTCCTTTCTCCTGGACTACCATGGTCCACGTCAAGTCAGAGCATTTCAAGGCCTTGTCCCACTACTATACTGCCATTGCACTTTGCGACTGCCCCGGTGAGTACTGCTTACAGCTGGCCCTACACTCACTTGGGTCTTAGGTGCTGTCTGTGCCTCAGATCACAGTAGCAGCTGAATGCTGGACCCCTTGAGGATCCAGTGTGGAGAAGGAGGAAACATAAGGGCTACTCAAAAGAAGTACAAATACTGAGCTGCAAACAGCATGGTCTGTAATCTCACTTACTGACACTAGCTTGGGTGGAGGGGTAAATCTGGCATCTTTCTTGTGTGCTGCCTGTACAAATGTTTTTCAGAAAGATCCTTAACACTGGAGGAAATACAACAGGCACTGTGTTTTGAAGCAGCCACAGATATAGGAGTAATTACCGAGGAGAGGAACTGGCTTGCTGAGAGGTGGTAGTACCTGTGGCAGTCAGTGTACTGTCAGTGCAGCTGCAATAAGAGGCACTCCCGTTGGCATGCTGGCCTCAGTAGTGCCAGTGTGCGTCATGCCCTCTTTGTGAAGCTGCCAGAGTAAGACAAGAGGACTGTTGTCCTCAAAGAGTCCCTGTTAGGATGACGGCACTTACTGGGACTTGAAACACTGGGGTTCAATTCCCTGCCTGCCCACAGAGACTCCCTGTCTGGTTGCAGCTCCTGACCCCTTGCCTTTCCTTCTTACCTTAGACAGAGACGTGCCTATAAATAAAACAGAGTATTAATAGACTCCTGACCCCAGGTGAGTCACTTGGGTGCATCTACATGGTGCTGTAGTTGCCAGCTGAGCTAGCTCCAGAGCCAGGAGCAGTAGCCCTCCTTCAATGCAATGTTTATCGCATCTGGGGCACTGTGGACACAGCAATACTGCTTCCAAGACCTACGCTGGTGTGTCTGCAAGGCACTTTACTAGGCTGTGCAGGCATAGGAGCTCACTCACAGCTAGCCTGGATATTTCAACACAGTGTTGCAGTGTCCCCCATAGACCCACCCAGAGTCTCTCCAATTCCATTTCCTACCTGCAAAATGGGAAGGGAACCAGAAGTTCGTGTGTCTGGTCTGTTCCTTCTCACCTGATAGTCCCCACCGGTCTCTTCCTATGTGCCTGTACAGTGCCGAACATGTCTGAGTGGAGTCACATTAAAATAACTATTAGACTTCTGAAAAACACGTGTTTCAAAAATGAAATTGTCAGCATTAATTTTGCAGTGGGACAGGTGCCTGATAGCAACTAGGCCTGGTTCCTCCCTCAGAGCACTCAAATCCATCTGCTGCCCCATACACAGAGTCATCCCTTCAGGGTGATATGAGGGAGCGGGAAGCTTGCAATTGGGCGGTTGCTCTAAGGAGCATCCTTGGATTTCCCCTGAGCAGTTACATGCTGACTTGCTCCATGTGCATGTTGCAAATGAGAGTGATGGGCAAAAGAAAAAGGGTTCTGAATTAGTGAGTCAGAGCTGGGAGGCAGCTCCAGGAACTGCGGGTAACATGGCTGTGGGAAGCTCAGTCAGTAGTGAGAGAAGCAGAAGATAAAGGGTATCAAGCCTAGTTGCCCTTGCTGAGTGTCATTGAGCCTCTTTCCTAAACTTCTCCTAAAATGCATGCCCCTTTCATACACACCAGTTGCTTTTGCTAACAGCAAGGCAAGGTCAGTGGTGGAGACCCACATGGCTTCTTCCTGTCCACTCTAGATTTTGAAAAGGCTATGGGTGTCTTGCAGGTGAGTACGAATATGAATCCGCCCCTCTTCAGACTAACAGGCCATCAGTGAGCTCTTTATGTCAAGTGCTAATCCCCAGCTAGTGCTTGCAAAGCAAAAGTCAGTATCTGGCATGTCAGCCTGGCTGCGGACTTTGGACCGGGCGGGCATTGCAGGTACTGCTGGTGAGTGGGGGTTTCAGAGTCACTGGCCTTGTTTCCACCCTGCCCTCACTCCAGGCCAACTGAGCCCACAGGATTTTCTCAGACCAGGAACCCTGCTACTGGCTCATTTATCTCCTCAGATCCCCTGCAGTCTCTTCTGCAGGGGTTTTTGAAGTTTATCAGAACCAAAGTACAGTAACAGCAGCTTTGGCTGAAAAATAAATTTTTGAAAAATAGCAAAGACTAGATGTGGTGTCTGAAGGGCTTGTAAAAAAGACAGATCTGTATCAAGGATCATTCCAAGTGGCATTGTCCATAGGGTCTCTTTGTCCTGAGACCTGCCTTCTTTGGGATCATGGGTAGTGCCCTTTTGTCACTATGAGCTAAACCCCAACAGGAGGCAGAGCTTTCTCCAGTGAATTTGGTTTTTATTTTTTTTGAATAGTGAATACTTGAGGAAGCCCCCATATATGGCCTTGTTCTGAATAGCCTTACCCATGCTAAAATCAACAGCAAACTTTCAATCTCACCTCTCCAGGGAGGACTTCATTTGGCTGTACAAACTTTTATAATCTAATCCAAGGAGGCCCTGTCCCTGGTCCAGAAACTGGATCCAGCCCACAAAGCTGTCATCCCCAAGGATTTGGAAATTTGATGGTGGGGGAATGGTGGCAATGTTAATTGTTGCTCCCCTGCTGCTAAATTTCTGGAGCCATAGGGAGCCCATCAGGCCCAATGGGCCAATGCCAGGCAAGGACCGGGGTGGGGCAGAGGGTTCACAAATGGGGTAGAAAGTTTGAGTAGTACTGATCTAATTGCTTGGCCTGGCTTCCCAGCTTGGGTGCTAAACACCTCAGGGCAAAGGCTTTTTTAGCCCATGTGAGGACAATGCCTTGCACTGAGGGATCCAGGTCCGAGGGTATGGGTACGTGAGAGAGTGCCCATGAGTTCAGCAAAGATTTTTACATCATCTGCTCTGCAGTAGGCACCTGCAGGCACTCTCTTTATTCATGATGAATTGCAGGGTAGGTGCATCGCACTTTCACTGCAGAACAAGTTTCCCTGTGGGTCAAGAGCATGTCCATGGGGAGTTACTGCAGAGTATCGATGCGCTATCACTTCTTACCCTAGCTCACCTCGTGCTGGCTTATTTGCATTAACAGGCTCCCCAAGAACCTGCCATAATATTAACGTTGCCAGCCCAGAGGAGGGCAGGGTCACATCTCAGGTAGTCCTTGCTTTGGTGTCCAGTGTCAATCTTAATCATCTTGGCTCTGCGTTACTTAGTTTGATATAAATATTAACTGCCTTTCTTTTACATACCTGCTTTAAAAAGATACTGGGAAAACCAGGAGACCTGCAATGTGCCTGTAGTGATGGGTTCAGTGTGAACTGCCTGCCCCAAAATAGGAGTATATTATGTTCTTTCCTTCCCCTTCTTTTTAAGTCTTTCCACACCCTTAAATCCTGAGTCCTGTGCCCTGCCCCTGGGTTTTTAACATAGTTCCACTGCCATAAATGCACCCACCCTTTAAAGCGGGCAGCTCTTGAATATTCACTGTGGAGGCTTCTTATTATCCCTGTCTGTCTGGTCCTGGCTAAGTGATGCTTTGAGCATCTCCTGAACTCATGTGTGCTTGCTTCTCTCGCACAGTGACATCTGATGCTGACCTCCCGGAGCATGAGAAGGTCTTCATCCAGTTCCACGTCACCATGCCAGAGGGACCCTCTCTTCGCATGCTGCTGCAAGACCAGGAGGAGAGAAGGAAGCTGGGTAAGCAACTTGCCTCACACCAATGAACTTCTGATGCACAAATCTCAAAAGCCCCATTGGGCCATCTTAGGCCGTACTTACGTTTACTGACTTTAGTCAGAGAGCTGCCAGGGTAACTTTAGAGCTGCGTGCTCTTGACAACTCTATGTAGCTTTTTCTGGCTCTGCTGCAGCTGCTGTGCCAATTTGATTTCAATCAGAGCGGGGTGTAACACTGCCTGAATTGGGAGACATTCAGCTTTGCTAACAGAGCGATGTAGCTGTAAGGATATGATCAGAGTAAAGATAGTATCCACAGGGCCATATGGTTGTGTGGGATGAGACCTTGTCTGTACAGCTCTGCCTGTTCTTTGCTGGTGGCTCTGAAAAGAACAGGTTCTTTGGTGGCTGTGACATGATGATGCCAAGATTCTCCTTTTCTGTGCTTAAACTCAGAGGAGGGGCACTCTGAAGTGCTTTGGGTTAGAGTACAAGGCAGTCGAGGGGAAAGAGACTTAATGGTGGGAGTCTACTACAGACCTCCCAACTAGGGAGAAGAGCTTGACCAGGAATTCTTAGGTCAGCTCACAGAGGTAGTGAAGGCTAAGGATGTGGTAGTCATGGGGGACCTGAACTTCCCGGAAATCTGCTGGGAAGAGCAGTCAGCCAGGTCTGACCGCTCACGTAGGTTCTTAGACAGAGTGCAGGGCCTCCATCTAACCCAGGAGGTGCACAGCCCCACCAGGGGAGACGCCTTGTTGGACCTAGTGCTGGCCACGGGTGATGACCTGGTGAGGGGCCTACGGGTGCTCAACCACCTGAGCGACAGCGATGATTGCCTGCTGGAATTCACCATCCAGCGCAAGGTGGCAAAGGCCGGCAGCAAGGCAGCAGCCCTAGATTTCAGGAGGGCAAACTTCAACGAGCTAAGGAGGATAGTT